CCCCAAAACCCCAAAACCCCAAAACCCCAAGATTTCATTAATTAATTTTATTTCTGTATTTAAAATTAAGAAAGTTAGGAGGTTTGGGGGGAAATGGTGGTGGGCTGGAAGAGAAGAAGGGGTGACGGATGATATGGGTTTATGGGAGAAATTAGGGGGAGGATGATGGGAATTGGGGGCCCAGGTTCGGGGTATGGTGAGATGTAAATATGTTGGGGTTAGAATGTATTTTTATCAGAAATATAGGGGATTAGAGAATTTGTGGCATGTGTAAGATTTGTATGTTTTTGAAAATCTGTTGTAGCCAGAATTGAATTAGAGGACGAATTGTAGAGGAAAGTTTGATTAAGAATAAAAGTAATTAGTCACATTATGAAAATTTATTATTTGAATCAATTATATAACCCTTCCTACAATTAGTAATTTTTTTCTACAATTCTCCCTCTAATTTAATTTCTGATGCAGCTGATGTTCAGAATCTTAAAATGTTATAACTACCACAAATTTTCTAGTCTCCTGTATTTTGTATAAAAATGGATTCTAACACCCAACATATTAGCATATCACTGTATGACAGAAGCGGAGACCTCATTTTGTATTATCTTACATCGAATTTCTCCCATAAAAAACAAATTATTCATTAACTTCAATGCCCTCTTTCAGCCCACCAGCCCAATACACTTGTATAGAGCTTATTATATAAAAGCCAAAGTTTACGAATATTGCGGTGATTCCCAACTAGAGTCTAATAAAGAGGATTCGAAGGGATTTAATATGACAGATTATTATAGAGGCCAACTGAGAGGCCTATAAGGAAGCACAAGGAATTCAAGAAGTGGAGGAGACCTTGTATGGAGAAGATAATAACCAGTTTTCAAATGCTTTACAAAAGCCTGGTGAGGATGATAATAGAGGCAATAATGTTAAGGAAAATTATTAATTTTGATTCATAATTTGCAGGCCATAGGAAATAATATTAATAGTGCTGATGGATTAATGACCCAACTTTCAGGGATTACTGAGATCGGAGAAAATGCTAAGGCTCAAGATTTTAAGCCTTCTCTTAATAATTTAAAGCCAATGTATCCAGGAAAGAAAAATGCTGTTGTTCCAATGGCTCTTGAAGTTCATGATTCTAACCACACAGTTATGGCTCCAATCCAGGGAAATCCTATTCATCCCACTCAAGGACAAGACCTCAATGCTAAAAGAGTCATGAATGAAAGATCATTTCAAAATCAATCTATGAATCCTGAATAAAATCAGCTAACTCAAAAAATGGAAGAATCAGATCAAGAGGATATTATTCCAGAAGGTGAAAAATTGAAAACAAGGAAGCTATTCTGGCAAATGAACGAGGAGATAAGAATCAAATGGAATATCTTCGTCATAATTCTAGCCATTTGGAACTGGTTCTCCATCCCCTTCAATGCAGCCTTTTCCCTGACTTCATGAAGTCTATTAGAATAGAAAATATTCAATGCTCTTATTGATTCGTTATTTATGGTCGATATGGTTATTAACTTTAGACTTCTTATATAAATTCCAAAACAGGTGAAGAAATCTTCGACCTTAAAATGATCTGAAGGCAAGATTCTGGATCGATATTCTTGCATCACTTCCTCTCGATACGATTTACCTGGTATTCTTCTCTTCAGGAGGTGATACTGCTATTTTCAAACTGTTTGGGTTGTTAAAGTTAGTCCGTGCCTTCGATTATCAAGAATCATTATGTAGATGAACTTAAGAGATAACATTTAAATATCTCTCAAGCTTGTAAAATTAGTGTTTTCCTTATTATGTATATTTATTATCTGAGTGTTCTTGGCATTTGATAGTAAAAGACAACAAGAAATGGATTCTTCCTTTAAACTATGTCTGGACTGAGACTGAAATTTACACTGATACGATATCAATGCTATTTTGGAACGCTATTTATCATAGTACTCTTCTCCTTGCAGATAATAATATTGGTCCTCGGAGAGACCTTCAACTCTTCTTTTGAATCACAGCTTTACTCATTTGTGCTATTATTAATGCTAATAATTTTGGTAATTTTGCTGTACTTGTCTCTGCACTCAATAGGAAATCTACTAAATTTCAAGAAAAGTTAGATACAGTAAATACTGCAACAAAAAATATGAAGCTCCCAGAAGAAACTCAGAAGGAAGTTCAGAATTATATTATGTCCACTCAAAGTACTCTTGAACATCGGTAAGAAAAGGATGCATTCTTGAAATAAATATCTTGCAGAATATTAGTTATTTACTTAAAATATTATAAAACTTATTATACTTATTATACTAAGACTCAAAATTTAGCAATAAACAAAATGTTTCAAAAATAAAACTGGATTCATTTATAAGAACATAGAACTTCCCCTTCCCTTCGTTTAGAAGTCACAAAGCGCATCTTTCATATGATAGTGATCAAGAACGACCTTTTCAGAGATAACTAAGACTTGGTTGATTACCTTGAGATGTACTTAAGCTCATTCTCTACCTTCCAGAGGACTAAATCGTAAAGCAAGGGGATAAAGCTGATAACCTATACTTCTTAGCAAGAGGAGAATCAGTCATTTATATTTATGAAGAGAATAATGTTGAAAAATATGTCAACACTCTCAAAATAGGTGGATATTCTGTGAAGTTGGCATCATCAAAAACTATCCTAGAACAGCCACTGTTAAAAGTAAGAATTACACAACTTGTGCTGCACTCAATGAGAAGAATTTCAAAGACTTCTGGAGCCATTACCCTGAAATTGTGAGGAAGATGAATGATAACATATTTAACTAAAAAGATAAATGGAAGAAATTTTTGATAAAGACACTAAAAAACATTAGTTTCCTTAGGCATGGTATCTCAGATAGCATTCTTGAAGACCTGATTTATGAATTAGACACTGAAAGAGTCGAAACAGATAACTATTTGTTCAAGAAAGGCTTCAACTGAGACTGTATTTATATCGTTATTCATGGTGAAGTTGATATCTATATGGAGAACAACGGCAGAGAAACTTATATAGAAACTCTTGGTCAATCGAGTAACATTGCAACTTACTCAACCATTCAGGATGAAGACTATAATTTTACCAGAAAGACAAAGAATGACTGCACTATCATGCTCCTTAAGTTCGATACTCAAGAGACTTTAAGAGGGAAGTATGAAGAGATAACCACTACCTTATTGGATATGAAGGATCCATCGAAAATAATGGAGCTCCCTTCTGAGATTTCCTTATTTATAGGAACAAGAAGAATAGATTCAATCCTTTAGAAGCTTTTAGGGGTTTTGGGGTTTTGGGGTTTTGGGGTTTTGGGG